AGCGGCAGGCAGGGGCGCAGTGGGCCGCTGTGGGGGTGCTTCGCGAGGGGGCGGCGCGGGGACGACGACCGAGCCGGTCGGGCCGGCCGTTGCTGCTGCTTTGCTATCTAGCCTTTTGTTTCAGCGTGTGAGAAAAATGGGGCGAAAGAGGAGGTCGGTGTGCGCGTGTGTGTGTGCGTGTTTGTGCGTGCTTGTGTGTGTGTGAATCAGGAGGCGTTTGGCTTGGAGCCACCCGCCCGCCTTAATTGTGGAGACAGAAAATACCTTAAAGCGGTTTCGGCCGGCAGATCCGGCCGTGCTTTCCCGGCCTCCTCCTGTGGCGATGGATAGGCTTCACCTCCCCACTCAGCCCACCTTCTCGTCCTCAGTCCCGTCCCCACCCTTCTTCCTCTTCCTGTCCGCCCCACCTTCAGTGAAGCCCCGTGAGCGAGCGGGGTGTCCGCAAAAGCGGCCCGGTCACCTGTCGTGGCAGCTGCATGGAAATCCCGGCGCTTCTGCTGTCTGGAGTCTGTGCTGTTTCCTCTGGCAAATCACGGAGATTCCGCTCTCAGTACCACCCCTTCCTCTTTGCCCAGCGCTTCAAAACCCAGTGCATGATGCTGATGTAAAGTTTGACCGGGTTGGGGCATTTAGCAGGGAAGAGGCTACTTTCTGTCATGACACCACTTCAAGGTTGGGAAGGTAAGAGTGATCTACCTTTGTGGAAGGAAATGAGGGTGACAGCAACCCTCACTGGGGTTGATGTCATTTAGAGACCTATTTTTATTCATCCTACCTGCAGATCTGCCCAGATGAGGAGGAAGTCGAGTAATACTTCCCCTATGGATGATACGTTCCCTTGGGCAGGCAATTGTTTTCTGGGTTGTCTTATGTTCCATTTTCATTTTTATTTTAGTTGTAAAATAAAACTTAAGGGTATCCAATAAATCCTCTTTCACAGACAGGTTTTAGCCCACAGGAAATTATTTCTAAGGTTTTAAAGGATATAAAAACTGGTTCTAGGATTCCTTTTGTGCCTGTTCTCTGTCTGGGGTCTTGACCATTTCTCAGTTGGAGCCCGTTTTTTGCAGGCAAACCCATAGGGAATGCTGCTGTGGTTTTGGCGAATTCTCTGTAGGCAGGGAGGCTATCCAAGGCTCTCTGGGGTTGGAGGTTGGGGTGGGTGTGCAGAGATAGGGCACCTTGCACATAGCCACACTACAGTCGAAGGAGACTCCTGCTCCTCAGGTGGGGTAGTTAGAGTTGATCTCAGCGTTGTGCAGTGATAGCCTTATTCAGAGTGTGGAGATTCACGCGTGTCTTCCTTTTTTTGTGATAGTTTATTATAGTGGACATGACTATATGGATACATTATGAATAGGCAAATCTAATGTTCAGTTCCTCAGTTTTGAAAATGGAAAGGTGCATGTTATTAGAGGATGAGAATTTCTTTAAGAATTTTGAGAGCTGTGTTTTAGTAAGGGCTTTGCAAGTAGAAGTTTTATCACACAGTGGGGAAGATGTTGACATCTAGACTTACAAGCATGTAGTACTGAGGGAGTAAGAGGGGAAAAATGTTTTTAACATAATGGAGCTTTCAGACATGGAGAGAGAAGAAAACCATGATTACTCAGGTGTCTGAGAAATAACAATGTATTTACTACTGTGTATTTTAAAATAATGTCTTCTTAATTTGGAAAGGACATGTATATCATACTGAGCTTTATAATCTTCATATGGAGCTATAAGAATAATGGTTTGGCTAGTCATACTGATTTTCTTACTAAAACTGAATAGGATTTTTTAACCATTGAAAGAATGGGTGATCCATGAAGCCTATTTTAAGTTGAACCATCCATAGTTCATGCAGAGATCTCCAGTACTGGATGAATAGTAGAGACAGCAACCCTGCTTCAAGCCAAATTTCAGATGACTTATAGGGCAGAATATGAAGATCAGGTTTTTCTTTTGGGTTTGCTGCAGATACACAGTGTTTGGATTCAGGAAGGTTTATTGATTGGCTGCAGTAGGCCTGGGTAAGCTGAGAGGCAGTAAGTGTCTTCGTATAGGACTTTCAACATCAACTACAGATTTTCTCCTATTTTTTACCCCCTATGGTGGCAGAAACAGGACATAGATGGAGTGTGCTTTGTAAGATGTAGTGAAGAACTGGGTGAAATCTCCAAACTGTAATGCCATGATTTGGTTACTGTATTGATCCCTGTTTAGGATTCTGTGAAGATTTTTCAGTATTACTAAAACCTTGCAGAAATTATTCACTTTCCGTGTGAGACTGCTGAGGCTGCATGGACTATGCCATTAAAATGTCCAATTTCTTTTAGTTTAGCTGGGATAATGTTAGTTAATGAAGTTACTAAATGCTAATGTAGGGGACCGGGGAGATAGTTCAGTAGAATAAGTGCTTGCCTCAGTAGAATAAGTGCAGGGTCCTGAGTTCAATCTCTGGTACCACAAAAAAAAAAAAAAAAAAAAAAAAAAATTACTCAAGTTGGCTTCAAACTTGGGGTTCTCTTGTGTCAGCCTCTTGAGTAGCTGGTGCAGGTAAATGCTAATGTACTAAATTTTCTGTGGTAAGAAATACATAAAATTTACCATTTTAACATTTAAGTGTGCAATTCAGTGGCATTCGTATACAACTGTAAACACCATGTATGTTCAAACCTTTTTTCATTTTCTCAGACTGAAACACTACCCAGTTACTCTCCATTCTCTTCCCCCACACTCTATTTACTGCCTATATATTTACTATGACTCTTAACAACTTTGCATACCTCATAAATTTGAATCACAATATTTATCCTTTTGTGACTGATTTATTTCACTTAGCATGATGTCCTTAACCTTTATCCATATTGTAGGTCGTATCAGAATTTTTAAGTCTGAGTAATCCTTTGTATTTATATGCCACATTTTGTTTGTAAACATTTGCCTACTAAATGTTAACTCCTGATGATCAGGATATCAAACAAAAAATTTAGAACTTTTGTTTAAAATAGGAAAATAAAACTAGTTATTTAATGCGTATTATCTCTTTAAAATATAGCATCCATGGAAGTTAGACTACTAACTGTGTGATATCTTTGATGGTTTCTGTCAGATCCTTGCCATGTAGATCATGACATATGGTACATTTTTCTAAAATTTGGGGCTGATGCAAATGATTTTTTGTTTTTTAGATAATTTGTAATGATGATCTTTTTTTTCTATACAGGATGTACCTAAATTTTAAAGAGAAATGTGGGTAAATAGTGTAATTCTAATATAGGGAAAGTCTAAGCTCAGCATCATTTATGGGTATAAACAAGTGTTTTGGGCTGGGGAGATAGCTCAATGGTCTAAGTGCCTGCCTGGCAAACGCAAGGTCCTGAGTTCAATCCTTGGTACTGCATGCTGTGCCTACCCCAGA